TAATTCATAAGCAGCTTTAAGTTATTTTATGAGCGTGTAGATATTCCTCACTGCAGAACAATGTAGTATGCCAGGACTGCATTTCCTTTTCTGTGGTTTCAATGTCATTATCCCCTAGAAACAAAATCAAATAGATTCATATCTTGTACTCCATCAATCTAAGATAATCAACAAATTCCCCCTACATTTTAAAGTCATATATATGTGGAGATAGATAGATAGATAGATAGATAGATAGATAGATAGATAGATAGATCGATCGAATGAACCTAAGGCTATGCCCTAGATTAGCAGATTTTCAAAGTGTGCTCCCTAGCATCTTGGACACCCTTTAGGGAGTCTTATGAGGTCAAAACCATTTTCATAATACTTTTAAGATGTTATATGCCTTTTTCCCTGTGTTGACATTTGCACTAATGGCACAGAGCAATGGTAGATACATCTACTTTGCATATGAATCAAGGCAGTGGCACCAAACCATACTAGCAATCATGGTACTCCTCACTGTCACACATTCACAGTTGAAACAGAATTACAAGCATCACCTGAGAATGTCCTTGATAGAGCAGTAAAAGTTGAACATGCATATTTTTTTTTACTATTCCCTGTGATGAAATAGGAATATATAAAAATCATTTCTGCTACATATCAAAGTATGGTGTTTGTCTTGAGGATAAGCTCTGAGATTGAGTTGTAATAGAACTAGCTACTTTTTTCATGGAATCCATTTGTACTTGAAAGAACACCTGAAAACAAACTAGATTTATTCATTGTTAGGTACTTTGGCAGATATTTTCCCAAAAATGGAGTGAGACTTTCATGTCAATGGAAACGACTGATGATATTTGTTGCCAGTGATAAAATGCAGGCTATCAAGAAAAAATTACAAGTTTGAAAAACTTGGAACTACCACCATGAGCTCAACATCTTCTCAGTGCCTAAAGACTATTTCTGATGTGATCAGTAGATTTTAGTGAATGTAATTTTTTGTGTGTGTTGTATAAGCAAATGTGTCAACACTTGGAATGTCCACATAACTCAGTGAGCCAAAATTTTTCAAATGATTGAAAATGTTACAAAATCATACATTGGTATGACAAAGGATAAGAAAGACCATTGACTTCATTTTTCTGACTTTAAATGTTTTTCCTATTATTACATGTTCCTGAAATAAGAACAACCATATTAATTACTATATAGCTTCTTGATTCCAAGACAATCATAAGTACTAGTGAAAATATGTTGTTTAGAAAGTGATTCAGGGTTATATGGGTTATCTGGATCAGGACTTGGCAAGCTATGGCCCATGGGCCAAATCCTGCCTGCCACGTATTTTATAAAACTGCAAGCTAAGAATGGTTTGTACATTTTTAAATGGTTATAAGTAAAAAAAGAGAATATTTTGTGGTACACAAAAACTATATAAAATTGTAATTTCAGTTCCACAAATACACTTTACTAGAACACAGCCTGCTCATTTATGTATTGTCTGGCTGCTTTCACACTACAATGGCAGAGTTGAGTAGTTGTGACAGAGACCATATGTGGTGCTGTCATCACTATTGCTAAAAGGCAGATAGCAAGAGAAGACTAATAGAATTCTATAAATGCCTTCCAAACAATGATTAATATGTTTAATTAAAAGCACTTGCTTTAAATTGCTATCAGTTATTTGGCAGTATCTATCTTCATGAAAAGGCATTTTCAGAGTTGAAATACGTAAAGTTTCATTACAGATCAGCATTAACAGATGAATATTTGGAAGAGATTTTGACGATAGATCTGGAGTGTTTTCTGACACCAGCCTCCAATTGTCCAGTTTTCTGATTTTCCTGTACCAACTGGGTGTCCAACAATTCAATTCAACTCTGACATTAACTACCCAAAGTTAGTTAATAGAGTCCTTTAACTTATGAGGTTAGAGTCTGACCTCATAAGTTAAAAGGCTCAGACCTATAAGCTTGCCCTCATTTCAGACATCAGCCACAAAAGGGGTACCCAGGCCATCCACACTTTTGCCCAGCCCACTACAAGTCAGAGGTTCCCTTCCTTAGGTTTGATAATTTGCTGGACTGGCTCACAGAACTCAGGGAAGCACTTTTATTTACATTTGCTGGTTTACTGTAAAGGATACAACTCAGGAACAGCCAGGTGAAAGAGATGCACAGGGCAAAGTTTGGGGGAGGAGGGACTCAGCGCTTCCACACCCTCTCCCAGCATGTCACCCTCCCTCCCAGCACCTTGATGTGTTTGCCAACCCAGATGCTCTCTGTATCCCACTGTTTAGGGTCTTTTTCTGGAGGTTTCATCACTTAGCTATGATTGATTAAATCGTTGGCCATTGGTAATTAATTCAGCCTCCAGCCCTTTCTCCTGTTGTGCTGACCATACAATAAAAGCCAAAACAGTGTACATGCCGCCAAAGTAACCTGTAGGACCACCATGTATATCAGCTACAATATGGGGGTCTATGATGACTCTGCAGAGCTGGCTCTCAACCTGCTCACAGGTTTCGAGAGAGAGAAAGGGGGATGTGAGGTGAGGGTATGTGCACATGAGTACATGTAAAAACAGAACCACTGATGTTAATGAACATGGGGTGACAGAGAGAGGCTCTTCTCCAGGTATTTGACCCTAGAGATCAGATAAGGACTCAAGCAGGGGAACAAGGGGCCAGACCTAACAGAAAAGGCAGCTGTACCAAAGCTTGCCCCCTTTTCCTGAAGGATCTCTTAGGGTAACAAGCAAAGGTATGACCAGGCCATCAATCTGGCCCCAGGTCATCTACAGGAAGGTAAAATGTGCACCTGCACTGGGGCAACACTGCCACTTGGAGCCTTGTTTGTCCCTCCTTGCTTTGCCACTGAACCCTCTCTGTCACAGGAGCTGGAAATGCCTGTGATTTCTAGCCAGGAAATTGGAGGCCCAACCCCAAACCAACAACACTCCTGCAGCCAGAACTCACCCTTCAGAGGAAACGTCTCAGTTGCTGCCTTAGAAGCCTGCCTCTAGAGGACTTCTTTCCTATCAGTCCCCCTTTGCAAGAAAAGTGTCAAAACTGAGTTGCGTGGGATATAAATCACAGGGGGACTGAGCTTTGGTGGCCCTGCTTATCGAGAGGAATTGGAGTTGGAGCAGCTCCTGGGGTGTGGCCAGGGAAGAGGGGTCTCTGGTTCACAGAGACTTGAGCCTTGGGGAGTGTGACCTGTGCCACCTGGGAGTCAGTGGCAGCATTCTCCCAGAAGGGCTAAATCGCCTGGGGGGTGGCGTAGGCACAGCGGTGGCTGTGATCCCCTGGCCATCAATTTATGCTGCATTCATATGCTTCAGGGTCTCCTCCACTTCAACTGGATTCTCAGACTCTATGTATGTGTGGACTTCAGATAGATCGGAATGCTTCCTTTCTACAAGCATGTTAATTATTTTAATTTTCCCACAGGTGGAGACTATCTTCTTGACAGAATCCTTGGTCGCTTTCCCAGTGAGCGTCCCAGTGTGCACTTTGGTGGGTTTAGGGAAAGGTCTCCGCCTTTTCCTTCCTTTTTCATCTCTGGGTGGTTTGGGTTGGGAGCAGGAATACTGCCTGTTGTCATGTCTGTGCTGAGGAGGACTTGAGCGGCAGAGGAGCTGCTGGAGCCAGAGGTGCGGGACATGCTGGAACTTTCCTAGCAGTTGACGTGGAGGAGGAGCTGGAGCTGGGGCTGTAGGTGGGCCTAGACCAAGAACTGGTACTGCTGCTACTCTTGGAAATGCTGTGCCTCTTTTGAGATTTATCCTTGTCATAATGCCTCTTACTTTACTCCTTGTTGGCTGCTTTATCTTTAGAGCAATCCTTGGACATCTCACTTCTAACTGGAGTTTGGAAAACTTTCCCTGAAAGATTGGAATTTACACCAATTCTGCAACTTGCTATTCTTTCTTAATCTTAAAATGTAGAGTGCTTTGTCATGGTTTTCGGGAAGCTTTTGAAATGAGTACATTAATTTATTTCTGTTTCATGTATTTTCCAGTACATCTGAGTTTCACCTGCCATAAGAAGGCAGGTGGCTGAAATCAGGGCAGATAAGCTAAATTGTGGAAAAGGGCTTTGCCACTTTTTTATAGGAGTAATGTTTGTCGGAATTCCAGACTTTATGCTAAAACAATAAACACTTTAAGATATGCTGTATCTGTAACATTCAAAGCATCAGTTTGTCACAAGGTTTGCCACCATGGAAATATTTAGGTATTTTAGCCTAAATTATCCCACTCCTAGAAATTTATCACAAGCCATTAATCTCAAAGAAAAGGAAAAAATAACAGCATTTAAAATTATTTTTATAATTTTTAAAGGTTACTTTCCATTTATAGTTATTACAAAATATTGGCCATATTTCTGGTGTTGTACAATAAATTCTTGAGCCTGTCTTAAACCTAATAGTTTGTACCTCACACTCCCTCACCCCCTAAGTTGCCCCTCCACCCCGCAACTGGTAACCACGAGTTGTTTTCTATATCTGCAAGTCTGCTTCTTTTTTTGTTATATTCACTAGTTTGTTGTACTTTTTAGATTCCATGTATAAGTGGTATCATACAGTGTATGTCTTTGTCTGAATTTTTTCACTTAGCGTAATGGCCTTTAAGTCCATCCATGTTGCTGCAAATGGCAAAACATTGTTCTTTTTTATGGCTGAGTAGTATTTCATTGTGTGTGTGTGTGTGTGTGTGTGTGTGTGTGTGTGTGTGTGTGTGTGTATGTATACCACATCTTTTTTTATCCATTTGTCTGTTGATGGACATTTTGGTTGTTTCTATGTCCTGGCTGTTGTAAACAATGCTGCATTGGGGTGCATGTAACTTTTTGCATTATAATTTTCTCTGGATCTATGCCCAGGAGTGGGACCACTGGATCATATGGCAACTCTATTTTTAGTTTCTTAAGGAACCTTCATACCATTTTCCATAGTGGGTGCATGAATTTACATAGAATAATACCCCTTGAACATAACAAGTAATTTTTAAAAGAGACTTTTATTATGAAATATAAAATATTTGGAAATGATTTTAAAAATTCAGTTACAGAGTTAATAATTCAATCATCTTTACAAGAGAAAGCACCACATTGAAAAATTACATTCATAAGAAATAATGTAAAATGCATATGCTAAAATGATTTAATAGTAGTCACAACATTATCAAATCATGAAATTCAGAAACTTTTTAAAGCACAAATCTAAATTGGGGTTTCAAGCTCAGATGTCTTCAAGACTAGTGGGAAACACAAAATAGTTGTCTGATATAAGAGGGAGTCTGGTAGCCTATGTCATACTGAGGAATGCATGCCCAATCTAAAGACTGTTCAAATTCAAGATTTTTTTAAATATTATGCACATCAAATAAAACTGTGGGCCAAGCTGTTCTGAGTTTACTGCCTGTTTGCAATTCTGCCCCAAATGAATTTCTAGCAATATATGTACCCAATCTTTAAAATGGCAGACAGCACTTCTTTAGGTAGTTGTGTGGATATGTTCTTAAAACATCTGGTTAAAAGAAGAAATTGTAAAAATACCTTCTTTCACATTTACTTGGGAGAAATTAGTTATGCCCAAGAGTGAATTAAACTGAAATGAAATTTCATTCATTAACCAATAGAAAACCACATACCCTAGTACATTATTGCTTAATAGGAAATATTTATGTAAAAAATAAAGTACTGGTTTTACTAAAGCCATTGTTTAGAAACATTCAATCACTTCACTAAATACATCAGTTAACAAGTTTTACTTTAACTTTTTAAAGGGTATTTTGTTGAAGAACTTCAGTAGATTTCATACCTTAAGTGAAAAGTAGAAGTTCTAATCTGAACATGTAAAATTGCTAAAGCTCAAATGGCTGTAACCATGTTTGTTTATTATGCCAATGCAGTTTCACAGAATTTACAACTTTGTATGCCATCAATGACTTCACATTAATCATTTTAAAATAGTTTTTAAAAATTAAGGTAATGGAGGCATTAGAGGGACAAATAAAATCTCCTTTAAAAAGGCTACAAAGGCACCTTATAATTCAAATATTCTTACTGGACTAGGAATATATATTTTAAAATAACTCATAGACAACACATATTCAAACAAATAAAATTCAGATACATTTATTCCAAACCTAGAATAGTTTCTACTTTTTAAAAACATTTTAGCTCTTGGCTTGAGAAGTTTAACATGAAAAGAAAGCACCAAATGTAGCCAAATCTTCCATTTAAAAAAGTTACTAGTTGTATGTTTTCTGTAAAATAAAGTTTATATGGGACAAGTCAATTTCATGCGTGGCCATTAATTTCTAAAATTAAAAAGCCAAAGATGTTAAGTACTTGGCTTAAAGTTAGATGTTTAGCAAACTCAGAGTATGTATACAAGAAAATGTTAGAAGACAGTTATTTGGCAGTTAATGCAATAGGTCTTTCATTATTTCCATTTATCATGAATTTTCAAGTAGGAGATGTATGTTTGGCATCTTTTTCTAACCTAATGTTTGGCAAAGTTGTAAAGTTTAGCCAAGTCTTATGTACCTGCATTCTCATATTCAATTTTAATTAATTATTAAAAGCACTTAAGTACAAAGCATCAGGATTTTTTAGAATTCAAAGTTAGCACTGATTTTACACAGCATAAGTATCCATGGCAGAAAATTAAAATTGAATATAAGATTATAAATTTATGATGGATCTATAAAAGAAGTGAATATGTTTCTCAAATCAAGTCAATAATAGAAATATCATGTCATGGTGTATGTACAATACAGGCTGATGTATTACAAATTTAGCTTGATTTAGCAGTTCTTTAAAAACCAATAGGGTTTATATGAATACATTTATTTTAAATTAATAAATTATTCATAATTTAAAATGTACAGTTTTCATAAATAGTAACAACAGACTAGACATGGAGTATATGGGATTTCCACAACCAGTAACAAAATAGTTCAACATTATGTCATCCAAATATTGGTTTAAAATTATTCAAATGTATTTGAAAATTATAGCTGACTGATCTGTAACACTGAATTCCACACTACATTGATAGCAATTAGACAATATAGTGCTGTCTGTTTGTTCTTCACATCATCAAGGGATGAAACTCCTTTTGTAAGAAACATGATGGTTGTACTCATTACATACAGTGATCCAATTAGTTAGCGTATTTATGGAGGAAGCGTTCAAATGCATCATAGATGGCTCGCCTAAAATTAAATACGAAAGAAAAACTACAAGTAATTAGCAAAAAAGGGGGACAGACAGTGCTTTTACTATAAGTTATTTCCAAATGACCTGTGGCTTGCAGTGTGACCTCTCCAAATAGCTTTGAAAGAGGCAGGTACTTCAGGGTGGGTGTTTGGATCCACGCAACTTCACCACTAAGAAAAATTTCAAATCTACTTCCAACTGATGACTAGTTCATAAATACCATCTTTTTCTATGAAGCACTTTTTTGTGCCTTAAAATTTATATATGTATACATTTATGTATGAAATATGAAATGATAAAATGAAAAAGGAACCTGTTTCTTTAATTTTGTTATTTGTTGAAAACTAACTAGCTTTGTGACTTTTCAAGATACAATATTCAGTCTGCTTCATAGATTATGATATAGCAACTGAACTTAAAAGCCATAGTTTCCTACATTAACTTCACTAGATACTTTAATTCATCTGGCCTCGGTCCACAAGATATTATTTTTAAGGCTTATTTTGTTTCTGTTTCTCCTATTGTCAAATACATTTTCATTGTAGAATATTCAGAAAATCCAAAAATATAAAAGGGGAAAAAAGTCATAATCTCATCACTCTAAAGTATCTGTGGTTAGTCTTGTCTTCCAGGCTTTTTTCTTTTTTTTAATGCTTATGTCTGTATTTTCATCCAGTTTAAATAATAACCATGAGATCATATTAGTTCTGTATTTTATTTGTATTTGACTAGGCATTTCCCCACATCCTTAAAAAGATATTATCTTTAAAACTGGTGCCTACTAATAGACTGTGATTTCCAATTTGTTGGGAGGACAAAGCTTTCTATCACGCTTATGCTTATTTGGCTCAAAAATTTGTAAAATGAGGCCTAAGATTGCAATCTGGTACGTGTGTACATGGTACAGGGTTAGTAAAGGTATATATATGCCTTTTAATCTGTTTATTTATTTTAATTTAAAAAAAGTTTAATGAAGAAGGTACTGAGGATTGAACCCAGGACCTCGTGCATGCTAAGCACGTGCTCTACCCTCCCCCCCGCTTTATATGCCTTTTTAATTATTTGAATAGCCTCTTACTCAACTTGTATTATCAATCCGAAGTAACTTACCACAGAATATTACAGCACATAAAGGAGTGGCTTGATTTACTTTTACATCTGGTGAGTGAAAAGACTGAATTTATAAAATTTTACTATTCCACTGCCATCTAAACTCTGTTAGGTTTTGAACTGACTAGAGGGGAGTAGGAGAGGCCAGATAGCATATAGTGACTCCAACTGAGCAAGTTATTCAATCTTTTTTGTTCCCTGTGTTTCTGTGACGATATTAAAAATAACATATGAAGCAATTGCCCTAGTACTTGGCACACATTAATAGCTAACATTTATCTCTTCCTCAAATGAAGCCTTCAAATGAGCACTTATGAGTTTTTATAGCTGCCTTTGATGACATCTATTCTTCCTAACGCCTCTCAGCCACATGCCCATGTAGATACATAAAAGAATAAAGGAAATTTGATAAAAATTTACTAAAGTAAGCATGTGGGCTCTCTGCATTCACATGTATAACAGAACTTTAGACTCTTGAGCAACCCGAGCAACCCTAAGTACTCACAATTTTTGTTTGTTTTTTGTTTTAGTTTTGCTGTGCCAGAGGGTCACTTGAGTATTGGGTAAGCAGTCTGCTCACTCACCAACTAATGGGAACTCATATGCTAAATGAGTATTTTTTAAAAGATCATACTGTAAAAAGACATTACAGACTTGAAGCATTAGCCTGTACCTCAAAAAGGTGACATCTATAAACTGAACTCGTAAGCAAAAACATACAAAGAATTATTTCTTAGATAAAAAGAGCTAAAACATGTCAAACATGCAGCACACAATTTTTCTATTTATGGCTATCCAGCTGGCAGTTCTGGAACACTTATGCACAGGGCTCTGATCTCTGTACTTTATGTGAACTAATTTATTTAACCATTAATGATAAATCCTCCAGTGATACTTGTTACCATCAAATTTGAATAGAAGTAGAAATAAAATAGGATATCAAAAAACTAGAATAAAAGCATAAAAGTTTTTATAAGTTCGAACATGTTGGAGTCATATAAGGTCATTAACAATAAAATAACAGTATTTCACTTTTCATTTAAGGTTCAGTATTCACTTAGCTACTGAAAAACTGCTAGATTATTCCACAGATGTTCAGGTCACTCTGAGAGAAAACCATCAGAGTGGAGTGAAAAAATCATGATGAACCAAAGCCAGTTTTATAAACCCTGGTGTTCCTCCCTACACTGTAAAATACCTGGCCACTAATATTTGAAGAGGGTAAAAGACACACAATAAAGCATGCCTGTCACATGCTATTTCTCAGTTCTCTAGAATAAAAAAGAAAATAAAAGGATGAGATAGGAAACATTATCACAATGTGAGAACTTGAGAGAGGCAGGGAGGAAATAAGAGAACTAAAACATATAATAAAAATATCCAATCTTTTATATTTGTTGAGCCAAAAAAAAATCCCCAAAACAAGCACAAATAAGTAGATACCTGTTAGAACAATCATCTTACCTGAAGAGTCCTTGTTTAAAAAGATAAGCACTAATATGACCCCCTTCTAGATATCGGATTTCACAACCAGGCCAAATTTCTTGTAGACTTCGAACTCCTGTTCGTGGAATGTAGGCATCTTCTTTGGCTTGAACCACTATGATGAGGCTTGGGTCAACTGGAACTAGGTACAGGATTTTTAAAGATGCAACATATATACTTTTCAGATGCTCTCAGAATTTTATATAAATACTAGTAATCATATTAAAAAAATATACCATACAATGCAGTAAGTAAAACATTTGCCAAACTAAAACTTTTGATTAAGCTGAAAATCAACTATATTATACCATAACATTATAATATTCATCTCTAATACAATGAGATAAATATTCTAAAGAAGATACAAACTCAATGTTTTTAGTGGATAAAATGGTCTTAAGAGTTTCATGGATAAAATTTAAATATGACACATTTAAATAACCAACTTATCTTAGAAAACACATTGTAGAACCAACAATAAATATACTCATGAAAATATGAAATTATCTTGTAAAGCATCCTTAAAATATTTCACATATTATGAGCATGATTTTCACATATCATCAGCAAATTTTATATAAAAATTAATACCTGAGAAATTTGCTACATGAGTACATTCATCCATGACTCCTTTCATAAATATTAAAGATTCTTTCTGAAGATTCTTTCTTCTTTGTTCTTTGGTGAGTAGGTGGTATGATTGAGGACTACAACTTGTATAACTACTTTTGTTGGTGGAAAGCGTTTGATTGAAGCACTCCATCTTAGAGGAACCTTGTAACAAGAGTCCTTCTGATGTGGCACTGACAGATGTTTTACTAGGTTTATGGCACTCAGCAGGTTTTGAGGACACAACTTGGTCTGTCATATCTAAATTTAAAGTTCTAGAAACCAGATTAAGGTTAGTTAGCTTGTCTGCACTGCTAGGGAAGCGTTTCACGACCTCTTGTCCCATTTTGAAAGAATCTGTCTGAATATATGAAATAAAAGAAAATGTCATTTAATATAAAATAGGATTTTATTTAACAACCTTGTTAAAACAAAGAGAAAACATAAATGTCCATCAATGAAAAATGGATAAACAACATGTGGCATATACATACAATAATTATTACTCAGTCTTAAAAGGGAATGAAATTTTGACACATTCTACAACGTGGATGAACTTTGAAGACATTATGCTAAATGAATAAGCCAGACACAAACAGACAATACTGTATGATTCTACAGATTTATAAGATATCTACAGTAGTCAAATTAATGGTGACAGAAAGTAGAATGGTGGTTGCCAGGGGCTGGGGAGAGGGGGAATAGAGAGTTTTGTTTAATGGGTACAGTTTCACTTTAGAATGATGAAAAAGTTCTGGAGATGGATGGTGGTAATGTATGGAGGTGATAGCTACACAACAATGTAAATGTACTTAATACTACTGAGTTGTACGCTTAAAAATAGTTAAGATGGTAAATTCTATTTTATATATATTTTACCACAATTAAAAAGAGATGTCAAAATTTAACTGAGGACTAAGATACATAATTTATACTTTATTGCTAAATGTTTCCTACAAAACAGTAAAGACTATCACTTAGCCTGCATCATGTTTTTACTAACAAAGTATTGAAATCCATAATTCCCCTTAACATTAGAACTTCCCAAAGTCTCATGAGTGCTTCCTGGAAGTAATATATGAGCCACCCTAAATCATTTTCTCAGGCTGAACTAAGAAGAATTAAAAATTATCACGGAAAAAATATTAACTGTTAAAAATCTTGAAAGTATGTACTAAGTTTAAGGACTTATAAATACAACATAATTTAAGTAAAAATAAACTTTGCCAGATACTACAAGCAAAATCAAAATAAAAGAATGACAGCCTGGGAGAATATATTTGCAACTTACAAGACAAAGAGCTAACTGCTTTAATTTATTAAGAGCTAGAAGTGAATAAAAGGCCCAAAACCACAATAGAAAAAATGACCAAAGGATATGCATAAAAGTTACAAGAAATGAAATACAAATTGCCCTTAGACTAATAAACATGTTCAATTTCAGTTAAATTAAAAAAATAAATTTAAAAAAGTAAATTAAATAAAACTTTCACTATTTGGTTGACTGAAAAACCATGGAAGTCTGATAACACTGAAACAGACACACAAGTTCCTGCTGTAAATTCACACAACTAGAATTAGACAAAATCTAACATTACAAATGCATATATCCTTCTGCTCAGCAACATTTCAGGAATTTACACTTGTGAAATGATGTATATACAAAGCTACTCATTGCAGCACTGATAATAGTGAAAGATGAAAAACAACATAAATGCCCATCAACATGATACTGGTTAATAAATCATGGTACATCCATCCATAAAATAGGCTGTTATGCAGCAGTGAAAAAGAAAAAGGAAACATCTGTGTATAGACCATTAAAAAAGGGAAGAGAAAAAAATTCATATTTCTATTCGTTTGAAAAATTCCTTGAAATGGTAAATGATATAGTGGGTTATTTGTTGAGGGCAAATTGGGAAGAGGTAGGAATTGTTTCACTATATATCTTTTTATACTTTTTGATGCTTGAGCTATATGACCAAACAACCTATTTACAAAATTAAGAATGAAAAATTGGTTGAAAGCAAGGGGAAAAAAAAAACCTTATTAACAGAACAAATCACTAAACCCATTCAGATTACAGGAACATAAAAAGGAAGGAAAGGAAGTTTAGTACTATCAGGAAATGTAAGCTCAAAGCATCCTAGAATTACTCAGAGTGGTTCCCCAACAAACTTAACTTTTTTGATTGGGAAAACACAATTTTTAAAACAAAAAAAAGAAAGAAGCCATCTTGACATTTCTTGAATATTCATTACTCTGAACTAGTTCTAATTGAGACAAATGGACTCTTGGATACAACCACCAAGAGTGAGGCACAGAGAAAAAGTGCTGGATAAGAATACATTGCCATTTCAGACAACCAAAATTTATGAACCTCTCTTAAGAAAATGCATGCTAAGTTTTCAAAGTCCTTACTGAAAGTAGAAAAATTCCTTTTCTTTTTGAGATTTCTTGAGATTCTTGGTAACTTTCAAACTGAATGTGCAAAGTTTTAAAATTCATAGAAAAAAATTTATGGAAACAATTGGTCACCTTAGGGAACTATTCATTATCCTGAAAACTGGTAAATTAAGGGAAGGAATTAAGCATTTATCCTACTTTTCTTATATGAACTGAACTATGATATAATCAATTAATAGGTAAGGAAAGTGCCTTTTAATAAAAGTATTCAAATTAATAAATGAAAAAGAAATGACATAGAGTATCAGCATTTTGCAACCCTCAATGAATTAAGACATAAGCATTAAGCATCAAATGCTGCTTACACCACAAAAAAAGAGAACCCACGTTATGTGCTTCCTACACTCTTACCAAAGAAATAAAAACTGAGTTTAATCAAGCCTCTAGAACTAGTTGCCAATTTACAGGCAATATAGAGCGTGGACGAACGCACTAAAACTGTACCATGAGAATGCAAACAGAAAAATCTAGACTGTGAGAAGCTCTACAGGTAAACAGCCCAAGTTCTTCAACACATAAATTATAAGGAAAAGAAAGAGATGAAAGGCAATTTATAGATTAAAAGATACTTAAAAGATACATCAAATATAAAAAGTAGTGTCTAGGGATGCACATTTGGACAATAAAATTATTTTCAAGACAAAGGAAGTAATTACTATAAAAATCAGATAATAAATATTAGGAGGAGGAGGACCTTTTGATTTGGACACATGAAAGTGGTTTCTGGGTTGGGTGGTTAAGTTCTGAGCTGGGTGGTCAAGTTCTACTCTACACAATTACAAATATGTTTGACATTTAATAAATGTAGTAAGCTATATATTTACTTTTCATGATTTTCTGTATCCATATTTTATTTTAAAATGAAGAATTTTAAAAGGAAAAATACTACTCCTTTTAAAAAATTTGCAATTCTTTTCAAAAATCTGAATCATTAAAAATAAGCTTTCTCCCAAATGACATGCAGAAATTAAAAATACTTACTCCACAATATTCGAGCATGTGAATAATTTCTTCTTCATAAACTGTCTGTGTATAATACTGTTTTTCCAGCTCCCTCCAGTTAATTGATTTACTTAGTACACCCTGAAATAACAAACTAAATTAAGATCAAATCATACCATAAAGCAATTTGTCCAATAATTTGATTATTATTACTGTGCAGAAAAGAATTAACAAAGTAGGTTTGAGATTTCATATCTTTAGAAAGGTCTGCTTGTACGGTTGGCCCTTAACTAGAGTCTGGGAACTTGACTAGTGAACAGTTCTGATACAAAATTCCAAAAATTATCAAGTGGGTTACTGTGCCTAAACTCCTCATACAAACAATGTAGTTTCTTCTGAACACCTGATTTCCTTCTAGAACTCTGGTACATGCTAGGCAGAGGGTGCCTAAGTGACTGACCCCTGATAAAAACCCTAGACTCCTAGGCTCAAGTGCACTTCACTGATGGACATTTTACATGTATCGTTACAACTCATTGCTGGAGGAATTAAACATTTTGAGAGGCTCCATTGGAAGCTTATGCCTGGTGTCCTCTGGACTTGGCCTGTGTGCCTTTTCCCTTGGCTGATTTTGTAGTTTATCTTTTTGCTGCAAATCAAGTTTTAGTAGTGAGTATGACTATAAACTAAGTCCTGTGATTCCTTCCAGTGAATCACCAAACCTGGGGGTGGTTTGGGAAACCCTCCTCAAACGATTACCTTTAATTATATATAGCTATCTAAATATTAACTGCAATTAAATTACCGTAGTGAAGACCCCAGATGCTGTAGACCAAGACAGACACGGAATCAATGGCATGGGCTTAGGCCAGTTGGATACTGCTAAGGAAGCCATCTGTAACATAATAACAGAGATTCTGTTTAGAGTTTACATTCGTTCAAATGAAAAATATTTAGTATTAAGAAGTATTTTGTTTAGTAGTTGGTTAGGTAAGACATGAACTCAAAGTCTCTAAACACTTGTGAGAATGACTAGCAACCTCGCCAAATTCCCAAGTCACAAATTCAACCACAACATATAACTTCCCCCTGAAACAGCAATAAAATGTATTAGGAAATTTTAAGTAACCACCAGACCCTTCACAAAAAGCCATTTTCTATTGGGTAAATATAGAGCAAACATGCTGAGGTATAGATGCTGCACAGCAGGCTAAGCACACTCACTACCTAAGTGACGTGCTCAGGTAGAGCAAAATCATAACTATAAAATCTCAGACTTTTAAAGTTGACTGAAAGATGTGGAGAATTTGGTGAACTATAGAGCAGATTATATAACTGATATAAAATAATGTAATGTGTGTGTTTAGAGAAGGGAAAAGTTATTTTTGGCTAGAGGAATCAGAAGCTTCATGAAAAGGCTTGAGTCTTTTAGGGGAAAGGGAAGTTAGGGTCTTGTCTTCCGTATAAAGACAGTATGATCAAAGGCAAGATGGTGAGGAACACAGAGTCTGGTAGGGAAACAGCCAACATACTTCAGCTAGGCTGGTCAATAGAACACATGTGGTCAGGGGTAGGGGAGATAGGGAGGGCTAGAAAGATTGATCAGGATCAGATTTGAGGTCCCTCTGTTCTGTAGATAATGGGGAATTACTAAAGAGACCTGAGCAAAGAACTGTCATTGTCAAAGAAGTGATTCAATGAAGCTAAATTGATAGTACTTTCTTTATAAGATTGATTAGAAAGGGTGCTATTTGAGGTAGGGAAATTAGTTAATAAGTAGTAGTCCAGCTGAGAGTTATAAGGCCCTGACCTAGGTCATAACAATGGAAACATTATTAGGTAGAAAATAAATCTTTTCCCACCTTTAGGTTTCACTGTCTGTATTTTTTTTTTAAATTTGAGTCTTTGAAGCTAATTTTATCAGCTTCACTCTTTGGTATTTGCTTTAAATTTGAGTAAGCTTTTAAACTTAATTTTATAATTCAAATGACTTACAGAATACATATATATATGTGTATGTGTGTGTGTGTGTATATATATATATATATATATATATATACACTGAATGACTAATGTGTCCAGGAAATGAACCAGAGCATATTTCTGGCCCTCAGTTAACCAACTGCTTTATGGAGAAAACAGACTGCTAAACAAGTAATCACAGTACAATGAAAAAGTACATGTTACTGAAAGATGAAGTATATTCTGGAGTAAGACTGGGAATCAGGAAGAGCTTCTCATAGGAAGTAAGCTCTAATCTGGAACCAGAAGGGCAAGCTGTTATTTGGGCTATGTAAAAGGGAATGAGGGGGCACTAGATGGATGCTGGCACCTGACAGAGCTAGAGCCCAGTTCAAGCCTTTGGCAGGTTTTAAGCAGGAGAAAGCAGAGGTCAGATTTAGGAAGATCACTCTAGTTATGGTGTGGAAAAAAACTGTTAAGAAAAAGAGTAAGGAGAGAAAATACTAGATGAGAAAGCAAGCAGGAGGCCATTTCAGTACACTCTAGAAAGCAAAGGTAAAATAAGGTTCGTGGTACTGGGGATGGAAAGAAGAGAAAATGAAAAGTATTTTCCAAATTAGCTATCTTCACCAACCTAATAGCAGAATAAGGCATTTATAGTTGAGATTTAAGTTCTATAATCAACTTTTAATAAAATATTAAATCTAATACCTGAGATATAACTGTGGAGTAAGTAGTATAATCATGCCTATATAAATCATACAAAAAATAATATCATTACTTCATAATTGGAACAGAAGTTTATAGAGTCTGTTTCTGCTTTCATCAGAACTAAAATTAATTCCATACCTAAAGTGAATTTTTAAACAACCAGATTCCCTAGATCTTTTTATCCCCCCAACACTGTACAACCCCCTTCAGTGCTCACAGCCCACAGGTAAGGAGACTGGGCAATGGTTCAAGGCTCAGTTTGCTCTGGCATGGGTACACTATGAGAGGCCCACAGTGGAGGACCCACCATAAATCCATTACCATGCTCAATTTCCTAGATCTTGTAAACATAACATAAATATCAGTTGAAATAAAGATGCTTACGTGTCCGCCCATGGATATTCCGGTCATTCCTAGAGGTCCATAACCCTCCCTCTCTAGCCAGTGCAAGAGAGCTGCAGATTCTAAAACAAGAGCTCCTCCCATCACAAAAAGGTCAGACACATTTTTTAAGCTGGACCTTCTAGCCTCACAAAACAAAAAAGAAAATTATTTATTCTTATGTATTTATATTTTAACATATGCAAATTTACAACAGGCAGCCAGACTTCATGTTTTCTTTTAAAAGACTTAGTTAGCTAAGTAAAACAATGAAATAAATTGATGAAATTAGAATAGTGCTAACATTATTTACTCTACATACTAATTGCCTAAATCTTATTTTTATAAAGTTCTATCAGTTTTACAGCATATAGTCTTTATTGAATTTCAATATTTAACAATTTTGAAGTCCAGAAAAGAATATCTTATTTATCTGACAGAATTTAAAACTGTTAAAATATTTACAGGAGGATAATTTTTCTATACTGTCAATTTTTAGTTAAGTTACCACTAATGATATAAGGAAAAATAAATTTATACTTTCCCTTCTTAGAAAAAAAAATTACAATAGAACTTAAAGCATACATTTTTTAAAAAAGCAATGTAAAAGAATTTAGCCTAATACTAGGCTCTTGTATTACCAAAATCTTAAATGTTACTTATTTTCACAGGTTATCTAATTTATGAATATATTAGAAAAATATATTTTTAGAAAAATACATGTTTTGATTAATTTAAATAAATACCAATTCAACTGAAATTTTCTGTTTTAGAAACTGATTTTTACATATAAGTACATATCCTTATAAGAAGTACTTAAATACATATTTTTAGAATCCAGAACCATTCTTATATAGTGATAAAAATGTTATTTTATTACTAAAGTGACCAAGTTATAATCTGTTTTTTCAAAATTTAATTCATATAAAGACATACATAATTAGCTCCTAGATGAAACCTTGTCAAAGTATACAAAAATTCATTTTATCAATGGTTATGATCATGTACAAAGAACCAGATGCCATAGGAATGCCAAGCTGTGAAAAACGGAATTCTGGCCCCCAAAGAGCTTATGTCCACTGTCCTACCACATCCTCTTAGAGCTCTAAGTCCGTAAGGTAGCTTTTTTTTTATAGAAAATATGCTATCTTCTGTCAAAACAGATTATATTCATGCTTCATTATAAAAAAGCCCATTTATCCTTATATTTGTTTCCAACCCTCATTCCAGTCTATTTATGATCACATAATTCCCTGATTATTTATTTTGGCCTGGAATGGAAGTTTGAATTCTCAAGTCCACTTCAGTTGGTTCTTTTATTTAGAAGTTACTGATGTAGGTTCTGGGACAGCAGTTACTTTTAACAGTGGACTCAGTCAAATTGTTCACCCACTTTCAATGAAAATAGGCTTGAGAGAGAGAGAGAATGAGAATGTTTATTATTATTTAAGTTGCAAGCCATTTCTTACTTAGGATGAGTTGTTTGAGAAAAATAAAATACACTGGAGTATTATATTTCTTGGGTACATAATATCTGATGGGATATCTTATAAACATAATTCTCACAGCAATTCTGCATGGAAGAAATTAGATAAATTTCTCACTTTATAAATGAGATAACTGATATTTAGCGAGGCCAAGGCCATACAGTTAGTAAATGGCAAGTTACAATTCCAACCTATGTCTGTATGACTCCAAAGTCAGAGTTTTTCTATTAAGCCCATGCTGCCTCTCACTACAACTAAATAAACTCTTTGGTTTTTAACCACCTGTAGACAGGGTAAAAATGATGCACCTAGTTCTGAATTCATTGCTTGGTTCCAGAATAAGAATTCTTGAACTATCAAGTCTAGACTTTGATTTTTCGCAAGGTTTCACAAAGTATATTCTAACCTATCCTTCGCAGGATATAGGTTTGCCTCTACCCCACCTTGCTTTTCCTCCAAACCTTTTTTTCCCTCACAAACAATAAGTGAATTCTAACTACCTCTCCAGAACTTACCAACTCCCTACTTCTCCACTTACAGGTCTAATAGTCATCACAAATTTAACATGTCCAAGTTAGAACTTCTGATTTCTTATCCATGATATCCAATTTATTAACAAGTCTTCTTTCAACTTCTAAATTATGTCTCAAATCCATTAGAACTTCTTTCTATCTCCACTGCCAGCACATTAAAGTTGTCCTTTTCCCCTTGTGTTATTGCAGTAGCTTCTTACTTGATTTCTCTGCTGCTACTCTTGCCCCAGTAAGCCAGAGTAAGCCTTTCAAAACATAAATCAGATCACTTCTCTGCTTAAAATTCTCAAGAGGTTTCCCACTGCAATTACAGTGAAATTCAAAGCAAACTGGCTCTTTGTACTCTGACCCTTGCCTACCTTTCTGACCTCATCTTGTACTACTCTCCCACCAAGGGCTGACACCAGGCTTGTCATTTACTCTTCCTTCTCTGAGAATGATTACCTCCAAGTCTTCTCCTTGGTAGCTCCTTCTCATTTTATCATGTCTTTACATCTAACACTGCTCCACCCTGCACCTACCCCCATTTCATTTTCCTCATGGCATTGATAAGTATTTGAAATTATCTTATTGATTTTTATCTATCTCCCATACTAGACTATAAGCTCTATGAAAGCAAGAACCTCGTTTTTTGTTGCTGTCCTCCCAGTGTTTAGGGTCAAAAATCTATAGAATGAACCAAACCCACACACAATATAGATTACAGAAATGCAAAAAAACTGACTTCAAAGTTCATCATTTTAAAAGACAGGAAAGAAAGTGTACCTTCAAGTTACCTATACTACACATTGCAAAAATAAAAATAGCAGTGTTTAATTTCACAAAGTAAGTAAATGTACTTTAAAAAGGTAAACATTTTATCCTTTCTTTGGTTACAGTTTGACAAATATAATACCTGTTCAGTCAGCCTATTAAAATTTCTTATTTATCTTTTCATCAGATATTTAAAATGCATAAAGCTTAAAATAAAAATTCAAGATAACACGCCTACCACAGTTTTATAATAGAATTTTTCTTCCAGTAACACTTGAATATTTAACTTAAAAACTGAAGACTACCAAATCTTAAGACTGCTGAAAATTCAGTATAAAGACTGGAAAAATAAAGGTAACACATACTTACATTTGGTCCTTGGGTTTCCTGCAGCCATTTAAGGATGTGGGTCAAAGAGAAAGTTTTAAAGTAATTAAGTACATTCTATGTCTCAAAACACATTGACTTAGGCAAAACAGTTCAATACGAGACAATTTAATGCTGAAATAATTATTTTATAGTCATCTCAAATAGGCTGTTTAGAAGTTCTCAGGTTTTTCAACTTATTTTCCTTTTTCTTTTTTAAAAAAGTTTCATTAAGATATAATCATATACAATGAAATTTACCCATTTAAAGTGTACAATTCAATGTTTTTAGTATATTTAACAGGATTGTCTAATCTTCAACTTAATTTTAAAATGAAGTTTATGGCTTTTTCCATTTATGTTTATTATAGAAAGTCTAGAAAATACAGAAAAGCACATTATAAGAAAAACTACTTTATCTTCAGATAACCATATTAATATTTTGGTGTATTTCTTTCCAGCATTTTCCCTTTTGCACAGTTTTAAAATAGATTTTTTGTTTTTATTTTTTTGCATACCTATTCTATACTGTAGAGTTTTATATCCTATTTTTGCACTGTAAGTAGTTTTCATTCATTATTATAAACTTTTTAATAATAACTGTTAAAATTTACTGAATGCTTGTTATTTACCAAGCACTGTTCTAGACAATATTAACTATTTAATACTCTGAATAACCTAATAGATTATTCCCGTTTACCAATAAAAAGTTAAGGTACTAAAAGGTTAACTAACAGGTCCAAGGTCATACAAGTACTAAGTGGTAAAATAAGTAATAAAGAAATAAACATAAAACAACCAATTGTATAACATTCCAGTGTTATGAACCACAATTTACTTAACTATTTTTCTATTATTATACATTTAAGCTATTTCTAATGTCTTACTATTATGTTACAAAAATATCTTTTTTCTTTTCTATTATTTTCTTTTTTCTTCATATTTTATCCTTAGAATAAATTTCCCAGAATCAAAATCACTCTGTCAAGGAATATGAGATTTTTTAAAGCTCCTGATGCATATGGTAAAAATGCTCTCCCAGAGGACTGAACTGATTTTCAGTCATCAGTAACGAGAGTGCTCATTTCAAAATAGCCTCATGGCTGTTGTGAAATCTTTTGTAATTGTTGCTTTAACTTTACATTTCTCTTATTACCAGCAATGTTGAACATTTCTTTATATCTGTATATCAGTTTCATTTCTTCTTCTGGGAATAGTCTGACGTCATCTTGAAAATTAAGTTAAGAACTGTTCTAAACCTCAACTGATACTTGAATGTAAACACATTTAAAACATGAGGGTTTCCTTAATGGCAAAAGCTTGACTTATTAATTTTAAAATCCAGCATAAGTGTCAGAAGAAATAGAAGTACAACTTACTTTTATTATGCAATAGAAGCAAAATCCTTAAATTGATTTTAAAATAGGCATGAAACAATTTTTCACTTCTTTCCATTCTTGCTTCTTAAGTATTTCCTGAACTGACTAAATTTAACTGGTTTGGAAAATCTGGTTCCTATCTACCATTCCTTCTGATTACTAAATCTGTAAGTAAGTAAGTAAGTAAGTAAATAAATAAATAAATAGGGTGGGTGAGTGAGTGAGTGAGTGAAAAGATTTCTAGGTATCCCAAAAGGATATAATAAGGGTTTTCTAACAGCAGAGAAGCCATCCGGGCTTCTTTAATCATTGGACGAGCCATTAGTGTTCGTCGTCTCCAGTAATGCTGAGGAAAGAAAAGATGACATGCTTAAAGAATATAATAACCGTATCTGTTAAGGAGAGTAGGTTAATAACTTAGGGATTAAGCTGTTAGGATAAAGTCTTACATGATCTCCTGTTCCAGCAAGATGAATGCATACAGGTCTATATTTGCTGTTCCATTCTTTAGGCACAATAAATTGGAACCTATTTAAAATAAAACACATCAGTGAATTCTCCTTTAAAAGCTTTTAATACAAACTTTCAATTCATAACAGTTTCATAATTAAATTACTTGAGAGAAAAGATTGTTCAGAATTTTGATATCAAATTCTAACTGTGCTTGCTTCAGCAGCACACATACCAAAATCTAATTGACTCATTAAAGTAATGTTTGCCCAAAGGCAACTAAGATATTGTAAATTTGCTCTGTGTTAGGGTATTAATATATTCAATTACAATATAAGCACATAATTTATTGTAATCATTTTTACCTTACTCAGTACCACAACTTTATAAATGCATAATGAAGTGTTCTTATTTTGTAAAGATCAATGTATATGATTAAGTCTTAGAAAAACAACTCTGTAGATAGTCTGCTTTATCTCCTTGCAGGAATAATGCTTGGCTGTACAAGCTGTGATTTAAAGTCGTTCATGTTACCTTTTTTGTCTTTCAGCTTGGGGTCTATGACAAGATCTGACTTACCTATTGGCCACTATATGTCTTCTTTGAAAAAAAATCTGTTCAGTTCTTCTGCCCATTTTTTAACCCATTATTTGTTTTTCACTATTCAGTTGTATGAGTTCTTTGTATATTTTGGATATTAACCCTTTAGATTAATAATTCGTAAATATTTTCTCCCACTTCACAGGTTGCCTTTTCATTTTGTTGTTTTCCATTGCTATGTAGAAGCTTTTTAGTTTGATGTAGTCCCATTTTTTTTTTTAATGCTGGCCAGCACCACCTGCAGGTACACCATGTTCAACCCTGCACTTCCATAATGGGCTGTGCGTCTCCAGCCTGCACAGGTGCCAGAGGGTCGTTGGGCGCCCCTGGCAAGTGGGCACCGAGACATATGCACCCGCGCGCTGACACTGCAGCAGCAGCAGCAGCTGCAGCCGCCACCAGCGCAGCGCCCCTGTGAACCCGGCCTCCTCCCACCCTAGAGCCCACAACCTCTAACTGCTTGCCCCGCGCGTCTTCCCTCCGTCTGCATGGCTGCCTGGGGCCAATCCACTGTTTTATTTTTGCCTTTGTTGCATTTGCTTTCGAGTCATACCCAAAAAAATCACTGCCAAGACCTATGTCTAGGAGCTTACTGCCTATGTTTTCTTCCGGGACTTACTTGTGGTAATATGTTGAATGAAAGTCATCAAAATGGGCATCCTTATTTTGTTCCTGATCTCAGAGAAAAGACTTTTCAGCTTTTTATTTTTGAGTATGATATTAGCTGTGGGCTTGACATATATAGTCTTATTATGTTCAGCTATGTTCCTTCTGTACCCAGCCTGTTGAGAGTTTTTACCATGAATGGCTGTTGAATTCTGTCATGGTTTTTCGTCTAGTGAGACCATCATCTTATTTTTATCCTTCATTTTTAAAATGAGGTGTATGACACTGATTGATTTGCAGATATTGGACCATCTTTGCATCCCTGGGATAAATCCCATTTGATCATGGTGTATAATCCTTTTAGTGTATTGTTAAATTCAGTTTGCCAATATTTTGTTGAGGATTTTTGCATCTATATTCATCAGGAATACTGATGTGTAATTTTCTTTTGGGGGAGGGCATCCTGTTTTGGTATCAGGGTTATTCTGGCCTGGTAAAATAAGTTAGTAAGTGTTCCCTCCTCTTCAGTATTTTGGAAGAGTTCGAGAAAGACTGTATTAATTCTTCTTTAAATGTTTCTTTACATGTAGAATTCACCAGTGTAGCCATCTGTGGTGTTTTGGGGGGGGGTGGATTATTGGGTTTTTATTGATTTATTTACATGGAGGCACTGGGGATTGAACCCAGGACTTCATTCATGCTAGGCACACACTTTACCACTGAGCTATACCCACCCCCCCACCCAACCCCCCCACCAGCCATCTGGTCCTAGACTTTTCTTTTTTGGGAAATTTTTTATTATTGATTCAATATCCTTATCAGTAGTTGGTCTGTTCAGATTTTTGGTTTATTCTTGATTCAGTTTTGGTAGGTTGTATGTCTCTAGGAATTTATCCATTTCTTCTAGGTTGTCCAAGTGGTTGGCAAATAATTGTTCATAGTAGTCTCATGATCATTTGTATTTGTGTAATATCAGTTGTAATGGCTCCTCTTTCATTTCTAATTTTATTTATTTGAGTCCTCTCTGAGTTTTTCATAGTGAGTCTAGCTGAAAGTTTGTCTATTTGTTTATCTTTGCAAAACCCAACTCCTAGTTTCATAGATCTTTTCTGTTATTTTTATAGTCTTTATTTCATTTATTTCCACTCTCTATGTTATTTCCTTCTTTCTACTAACCTGGGCTTAGTTTGTTTTTTTCTAGTTCCTTGAGGAGTAAAGTTAGGTTGTTTATTTGAGATCTTTTTTTTTTTAAATGTAGGTGTTTATTGTTATGGATTTCTCTCTTAAACCACTTTTGCTGTATCTCGTAAGTTTTAGTATGTTGTATTTCCATTTTCATTTGTCTCAAGGTATTTTTTAAATTTATTTTTTGATTTCTTCCGTGACTCATTAGTTGTTCAGTAACATGTTGTTTAATTTCCATATATTTTTGAATTTCCAGTCTTCTCCTTTTAATTGGTTTCTAGTTTCATACCAACGTGACCGGAAAAGATGCTTGATGTAATTTCAATCTTTGTAAATTTATTAAGGCTAGTTTTGTGACCTAACATATGATCTAGCTTGGAGAATGTTTCTTGTGCACTTGAAAAAAAAAATTCTGCTGCTGTTGGATACAATGTTCTGTAAATTTCTTTTAAGTCTGTCTGGTCTAACATGTGTCTTGATTCCAAAGTTTCCTTACTGATTTTCTGCCTGAATGATCTATTTATTGTTTAAAGTGGGGTACTGAAGTTCCCTACTATTATTATATCTGTCTGTTTCTCCTTTCAGATCTGTTAATATGCTTTATATATTTAGCTCCTATGTTGGGTGCATAAATACAAATGTTATATGGTCTTACTGGATTGACCCCTTTATCATTATATTATGACCTTCTTTGTCCTTTATTCCAATCTTTGTCTTAAAGTTTATTTTGAATGAAATAAGTATAGCTACCTCTGCTTTCTTTTGGTTCCTATTTGCATGGAATATCTTTTCTTATTCCTTCACTTTCAGTCTGTGTATGTCCTTATATCTGATGTGACTTTCTTGTAGGCAACATACATTTTGGGGCCTTGTTTTCTAGCCTTCCAGCCACTCTATATCTTTTGATTGGAGAATTTAGTCCTTTACATCAAAAGTGATTATTGATAGGTATGGACCTACTGTTGTGATTCTATTAACTGTTTGCTGGCTGTTTTATAATTCTTTTCTTACTTTCTTCTGTTTATCTCTTCCTTTGTGATTTGATGATTTTCTGCAATAGTATGCTTACTTTTCTTCATCTTTATCTTTTATCTATTTATTACAGGTTTTACCTTTGTGGTTACCGTGAGGCTTATATAAAACATATTTATAATAGTCTATTTTAAACTGATAACAACAGGTTCAAATGCATACTACAGCTCTAAATTTTTATTCTCCAAGATATCACATTTAATGGGAATTAATGCTAAATAATTATTGTAATTAATACTAAGTAATCTGAAGTACTATGGCATTGCTATTATAATTTTAAATGAACATAAATAACCTACTACTTTAACTGTCTGAATAAAAATTCTTACCTTGCAATAACAGATTCAATTGGCATGATACCAGGCACATAGTGGGCCATGGGGGAAACAAAGTGTCCATCTAGGATCCTACAGTCTGACTGCTCTTCTATCTAAAAGAAAAGCAAACCCAAGATGTATACACCAGGGCTAAGATATCTTAGTCTATAACAGATGTTTTCCTATATATAAAAAAAGTTCTATTCAATTAAAACTTTTTTTTCAGTGCCTACTATGTACCCTTTTGCCCCATTCTGCTTTCCAAAGACATGTCTCCTATGTACTCACATTTATTTTCCTTCTATATCCTTTACTACAGTCTAGTTGGGAAAATAAAGTATAAATAAACCTCACTTGTATAATGACATGCAATCACAAAGTAAAATACTAGTTACAAGAACTCAACAATATACAAAAAAATACAAAAACAATTTACCAACAAATTGTAAAAATAATTTACCACAATCAAATAAGGGTTGACATCATATATGTTAGAATGGCTCATTTTCAGGTAATCTACTGATGTAATGAGTCATGTCATTACATATGAGTAATGAGTAATGAGTCACATATTAAAAAGGAGAAATGTGATATTTACATATATAGCAAAGACATTTACTAATACTCAACACCTAAACTTTTTTCACCTCAAATAGTTTTTTTAAAATAAAAAATTCTTTACCAGACCAGTAGTCAAAATTAAATTAGCAGGAAAACACCACATATTTTCATTAAAACCTAAAACAAAAAAATTGTATCTTTGGAAGCTAAATATCTCCAGCTTTTAAAAAACACAAATTCTAACCAGTTGTGTCAACATCATTTATTAAATAATCCATATTTTTTGGCAAATGACTTAAAACCCAAATATACATTCTTCCCAAAATAATTTTAGGATTCTTTTATGGACCTTAATTCTAAGTTGAGTATTTAGTTGGAATTTCATTACATTGTTTTGAAAATGGTAAGGAGACTTAAGATGTATATGATATGAAATTTTTAATCCAAGAAGTCTTTACATTTTAGTCATCTTTGTGCCTCCTATAGTTTCAAAGTTTTCTTTTTATGTGTTTTAGAAGAATTAATTATTTGGCAAAGGAAGTAGCCCAAACTAATGTGAAAAGGAATATTAATTCAACAGTGTTGGGATAAATGGCAATTTTGTAAAAAAAAAGTTTTTAGAGCCATATATAATATAGATACAAAAATTAAGCTTCAACTCAACACTAAAAATGGGCAAGGATTTCATAGATATTTCTGAAAAGAAGACATACAAATGGCCAATAAGCACATGAAAAGATGCTCAACATCATAGTCATTAGGGAAAGGCATATCAAAGTCACAATAAAATACACTTCACACCCACTAGGATGGCAAGGACAAGTACAAATATTAATAAGAATGTGGATAAACTGAAAGCATTATGCACTGCTTGTGGGAAAGTAAAATGGTGTACTTCGGGAAAGTTGCCAAAAAGTTAAACAGAGCAACCCTGTGACTGAGTAATTCCACTCCTAGACACATAGCCAAGACAACTGAAAACATACATCCACAAAAACACTAGTATGTTAATATGCACAGCATTATTATTCATAATAGTTAAAAAGCAGAAACAACTCAAATGCCCATCAAATGATAAATGGGTAAACAAAATGTTGCATATCCATACAATGGAATATTATTTAGCCATAAAAAGGAATGAAGTACTGGTACATCCTAAAACATGGATGAATCTTGAAAATTTGCTAAGTGAAATAAGCCAAACACAAAAGGCCACATGCTGAATGATTCCATTTAGATGAAATGTCTAGAACGGGTAAATCAAATAGATAGCAGATTAGTGACTGCCAGCAGGTGGAAGGCTGAGGAAGTGGGGGTGAGCTAAAGGGTACAGGGTTTCTTTTGGGGTGCAGTAAAAATATCCTGGAATTAGGCAGTGATAGTTGCACATGTTGGGAATGTAATAATAAAAAACAACAACACTGAATTGTATACTTTAAAAAGGTGATTTTTTTAATGTATGTGAAATATATCTCAAATTCTAAAAACAGAGAGAAGAGACAGACAGATAAGGCTGGGAGAGGAAAGAAGAGAGGAAGAATATATATAAGAAAGCATTCTAAAATCCCAACAGTAATTCCTTCTTGGTAGGAAAATGAAATTAGGGGGTGGAAAGTGGCAGATTAGAGTTTTGATCTTTACTTGGTGTGCTTTACATTTGTTTATTTTAAGCCTATGATTTTTTAATAGAAAAAAAGAAACAGAGGAAATAGAAATATTTAGCAAAATTTGAGGGGGAAATGTCCTAAATCCAGAAGATACAGAAGGAGCAGCTATATAGTATAGAGAAGGTATTTCCAATTTATAAAATTTTGTTCTTAGCAGTGAAAAGTCTTGAAGAACACAGTCTTCTAAAGATATTCAATATATAAAAGTGGTGAAAGTAGAGTTATTTTGGCTGAAGGCAGTGGGATGTGAAGCCCAGCAATTTGCAACCCCCCTGAATAATACTTCAAGCATCCAATTACATAAACCTAGAAATATTTTACAGAAAATCATATGGTTGCTTAAAAACTATTTCAAATATATTTTCTCATATTCTCTAATTTTATAGCATTTTCTTTCTATCCTTCTCTCAGCAATTAACTATATCCCATAACATATCTCTGGTATTATTTAACAGTTGTTTTGATAATAGCTTCTCCTGTGCTGATTCTCCAACTAGAGTGCTTCCCTATATTAATTTTTTTTAAGGAGGAAAATAGTATAAGAGTTTATTAGGGGTAACCTGCTATCGACAACAGTGGGCCATACAGATGAGAGGTGCCTATGTGACCCCTTCCCTGTGTTACTTATAATTCTTCTGAAACACTTAATAATGTACTTTAACCCTCCTGAGCCTAAAAATAAAAGATGAGGCTCAAAAAGATCCAGCCCAAAATATTTTCTTACATCTAGGTAAGTATTAAATACATGCTCCCAAATATAAATGTATATATAGTTACTATAAGCATTCAGTTAGGATACATAGCATTTAAAAAATATTAAATGAAAAATCTATATTGTACTTATGTTTTAGAGTTCATTGTTATCTCACTACACCATTCAACCTACTCTTGTCACATAGTTATATTAAACTGAATTTCTATAATTGCATTTCTTTCATTTGAATACCTTATCGATGTATACTGGATAATCACTGGAAACCAGATTCTGACATCTTTCTCGATTTCCAATCATCTTTCTAAATTCAAAGAGTCTATTATAGTAAGGGGGGAGAAAGGAAAAAATTCAGTATTTATTCCCATTATATTAAGACTGATGAAAAGTAATTAAGAATTAGCAACTCTAGTACATAAACTATATTAAAATTTAATTTTAATCATTAAAGAAAAAGATTAGGCTGTTGGGTTTTTTTTTCAAGCTTGACATTTTGTCTCAGACAAAAAGTGAGAAATATCATTGTTCAGAAAATAATTACATACATAAGACTCAAAATTAAAGAAACAAATACTGAAAATTGATTTTCATAAGCCCAGATATTTCCATGAACTACATTATATCCCGGTTTTATAGTCATTATAAATTAAATTACCCAAGAAAGCTCAGTCCCTGGAAATTCTAATCAACTTAAAACTTACCAAAGTTAAAAATTTAGTTTGTATTTCTGAGACCTCTTTATTTTAAAATCTGAATTACTTTAAAAATAGTTCAATTTATGCTTATACAGGTTAAAACTTAAGAAAAATAATTAGATAATAGAGAAAAGGAAATAATTTCTTTTTTATATAGCAGTTTAACACTTAATTCACCACTTTATATTTGTGGTAAAGGACTTTATAACTGATATGAAATTTTAAATGTTTACTAAAACAACAAATTCAGAACAAGCCTTCAGAAAAAAAGTGCTTACCTTTTGAGATCCTCTGGCCTTCCCCATCCTCTGATAAAAAGTTTGGTGAGAAGAAGTCTCCGGTATAGAATATCTAACTTGCTCACACCCATCAGTAGCAAACAAACATCTATAAAAGATAATTTTAAATGACTTTAATAAATTTTATTTTAGCCAACAGGTCAGTTTTCTAACCACCCCTTTATATATCAGGAAAAAAATTAAAGATTGATCTACTCTCTTAGCAACTTTCAAATATACAAAACAGTACTGTTAACTATAGTTACCATGCTGTACATTATTAACTAAACTTATTGTGGTACTCATATCACAATAGATACATGTATCAAATCATTATGTTGTACACTTTAAAGTAATACAGTGTTGTATATCAATTATACAATTCCTCAATATAATTGGGAAAAAATTAAAGAATGAGATTCTACTAGAACCTTGAATTTATTCTCTTGGAAATAAGATACAGATAGAGAAAAAAAAAAAACTGGGATGAAAGTAGAGAAGATGAAGTAGAGCCCTGAGCTTCAGTAAACTGAATCCTCTGCGACAAGATCTTCCCATCCTCAGCACAGTGACTGTAGTGAATACTCAAAATGTGCTGAACAAGAGGAGTAGCTAATATTTATGTAGTACTATTTCATCTGCCAGGCACCATTAAAAACCACGTGCGCGCACACACACGCTCGCTCGATCTCTCTCTCTCTCTCTCTCACATTCTTGTTTAAGCCTCCCAACAATTTTATGAAGGAAGATGTATTACCCCAAGACAAAGAAACTGTGACACAGAGCGGATAGGTGATTTACTTAAGGTCACACAGCAAGTGGGAAGCACAGCTAAGATGAATTCCAGGTACACAGCTCAAGGACAGGAACAGACAAATTATGCAGGGGAAAGGCAAGAGAAAATGATCATATATTCTCTTCTTTATTTTCTAATTCAAAAATTCTCACTGTAACATTTTAAAATTCAAACAATACAGAAGTATATACAGTAAAATAGGGAAAAATAATCTTCCCATTATCTCCAATTCTACTTTTCAGAGATATTTAGTGCTAACAGTTTGGATACTGTTCTTTCTGACCTTTCTCTTGTTGATGTTATTTCTTTACTTGTAAACACTTTATAAATTTTTACTTGAGTTATGTAACACCTTTTTGGCAAAATTGAAACAATACAAAAATATACAGAGTAAAACTGAGCAGTCTCTCTTCACTTCTGCTAAGCTTCCTCTCTTCCCAAAAGGTAACTGCTCTTAATGCTGTACACCTGTGAGCACTTGTTCTATCCATTTATACATATACACAGATTTTAGGTGTTTTGGTGTGTTTTTTTAAACACAGAAGAGACCAACTATATATTAGTATTTTTTGAGGGTTCTTCCTCATTCTGCCTAGTTAAAATACCCACAAAGCTCTTTCAATTTCAGGATGTATAGGCCTGCCTCATTTTTTTCTATTAATAAGTGAGCTTAGCCCATTTATATTTTTATTATTATGATAATGTTTTGGTTTTAGTTCTTTTTTGTTTTATTGAGTCTTAAGTTTTTTTTACCATTCACATTAAATCACTTTACATTTGAGTGTATGTAAATTTGAAAGAGATTTTATTTATTTTTATATATATATATATATATATTTAGTGGGGAGGTAATTAGGTTTATTTACTTATTTCTTAAGTGAAGGTACTGGGGATTGAACACAAGGATGCGTGCTAAGCACTCTACCACTGCGCTGTACCTTTCCTCTTGAGAGAGAGAGAAATATTTAAGATGTAATATACCATAGTGGTTAAAAGCACATCCTCTAGAGGCAAACTCCCGGAGTTCCTTTACTGTGTGATTTTGAGCAAGTCACTTACCCTTTCTGTAACTCATCCATAAAATGAGGATGATGACAGGACTTAACTCGGATTGGTATGAGAAATAAATGTTACTATACGTGAAGCACTTAAACAGCACTTAGCAAATTTAAGTGCTATACTTACTAATATTACTGATTATCTTTATAATTCTATTTAATACTCAAACCTGTATTTCCATATTTTATATAGTATTTATTAAGTCCTGCTGATAAATAATGAAAGATATATTTGCTCCCTTCACCCCACCACCCAATTTTAGTTCATATTTTTTCTTACTGCTTATCTTTATACCTTTAAATATACTAATATCTCTAGTCTTTAAATGATCTCTCTATCACAGACTGTGATGGCTGAGGAAATCACTACTTTCTACCTTCTCTTTCTTTTCTGCTTCTCTTATAAATTATATCAATTCTATATTTTCAGAGTTTATATTCATATTCTTAGTCTTAGAGATAGTTGTATTCAATGATCATTGCCAATCCTTTTGTAGTAATTAACAAAATAGAAAATAAAAAACAATGAGAACCCAAATAATTCTTTAAGAACACTAATAGATATTTCAGATGGGTTTATGGTTAGAATGTAAGAATAGTTTAGAATAACTTACTACATTAACTAAACAAGAAAGAAAGACATATCTTAGAGATATAAAGAAAACAAGCAAACAAAAACTCCTAGTATCTGATACAATTCAGCATCCAGACATAAGTATAAAGTAAAAAAATCTAGGAATGTAGGAAAGCATGATTAATTTGATATGATATAAAACAAAAATCTACTGTATAATATTTAATGATGAAATTTTAGAAGCATTCCCTTAAAAGTGAGGGTTAAGAATTCCCACTATTATCACTTTCATTCTAAAACAGAACAAGATATCTAAAGCTGAAAAATAAATAATGAAAAGGTTTAAAGATTAGAAAAGGGGGAGAAAGCCTGCCATTGCACACAAAGAGTATGACTATTACAGAGAAAACCCAAGTGAGTCAACAAAGTATTAAAACGTATCTTATTACTAAGTTCAGTAATAGATGTCAGGGCAATTGGTTATCCATGTGGGAAAAAATTAAATTAAATCTCAATGCCTCATGCTAAGTACACACAAAAAATATCCACGTGGACTGGATCAGAGAGCTAAGAATAAAAAGTGAAACTGTAAACTTTCAGACGAATACACGAGAGACCATAGTCAGCGAAAATACAGCAAATATTCCAAGACCTTAAAGAAACTGGTTGATTCAACACACATTCATTAAAAATGAGCTCCATCAAGAAATGAAAAGACAAGCCAGACTATGAGAAAATATTTGCAAAACATCTATCTGATAAAGGACTTGTATCCAAAATACACAAAGAACTCTCAAAACTCAAAAGAAAAGAAACAAGCCAATTGAAAAATGGACAAAAGAGCAGAGAGGACTTTAAGGTAGGAAAACTATTCTGTATAATACTTTAATGGTAAATATATGATATTAAATATTCGTCAAATCCCACAGAACTGTATAACACAGAGTGTACGCTAAGGTAAACTATGGACTTTATTTAGTAAATATCAATATTGAGTTCATCAAGTGTAACAAATATACCACACTAATGCAAGAAGGTAACAGGGAAACTGTGAAGGGTAGAAGGGATATATGGGAACTCTGTGTACTATCTTGCTGAAATTTTCTATAAACCTAAATCTGTTATACATAATAAAGTCTATTAATTTAAATTAAAAAGTCCACAAGATGATTTCTCAAAGTTTTTAAGAGTAGTTCTACAGTACCTTTAAATATGAAGAAATTCTATTAGGATTACACACAGAGCTTCTGTCAGCATTATTGTATCAAGATATTACTGTAGAAGTGTTAATATATCAATGTGTTGAATGAATCAATCTATCAAATATCAATCAATCATATAAAATTTCTGTAGACTTTATTATAGTTTATAGGAGTAAAATAAATTCCAGTTTAAAAAAATAACAAAAGCAAAAATCATTTTGAAAAGTCCTTATGGACTTATTTATTTGCCACTTCCTCTGAAAAAGTATTTTTAAAACTTTCCTAAAACATTCTAAAATTTTTCAATATTCACTTGGAAAGTTAATCCAGAATTGAATGATGTAAGCTTCCAAGTAGCTTATACTTACAAATGATAAAATATATTTTTTGGCTTACTTTAACCACTTTACAAAAGTATAGTAAATTTTTTTATTATAAATATAGTCAAAATTTAAGGTTAACAAAGGAGAAATGTAGATAATTTTTAAAAATTTGATTTCCATGATCTTCCTACTCAATTCATTTGCACTGCTAATCAGAGAGGGGACTCATTAATTCTTATGCCAATGGTTTAAGCCTTTATGTGTTATTACTTAAACCTATCAACCTTTGTTTTCAGCTTAATCTTATGGGGGAAAAAAACTAAGAATCCCTTTACCTTAATGCACCAAGCTCTTAAATGACTCTCTCTGACTGAACAATTTTTAAAGACTTGCTATGAAATTATATACTATTCTCAAGCTCTCCTCAATTACACATTTCCATGTATTTTACAGCTATGTGGTATTCTAATGTTAACACACAGTTTGCTGAACAACCTTTTGCTGTTGCCTAGTAAAGTCAAAGTCCAAGCATGATAAGAATTTAATCATAGGTATGTCATAAATGTCACAATAATGTTAAAATTCAAAGACACAACTATAAAACACTATATTTATTACAATTATAAATTATCGAAATCCTGATGGCATAAATAAAATGCAGGTATTGATTTTAAAAGAATTCATTATGTCACTGGGTAGACTTAAAATTAGTGTTCTATCTAAAGTAAACACTAGTTATTTAATTAATCATGTTCTGTCTACCGTACACCTTTTTTTTTTTAGAAGATGAACTTACGGTTATTAAAGGGGAAAGAGAGGGGCTAGCAATAATTAGGAGTTTGGGATTAACAGATACACACTACTATACATAAAATAAGTAAAACAACAAGGAACTACTATATTGCACAGGGAACTATATTCAATATCTTATAATAGAAAAGAATCTGAAAAAAAATAGATATATATGTATAACTAAATCACTTTGCCATACATCTGAAAGTAACACAACATTGTAGATCAACTGTACTCCGATTTTAAAAAAAATTGTCAATGTTTTGATTTCTCAGCATTATTTAATCTTTAATAACCCTAAAAAAGTCAATACACAGTGAAGCTTTCAGGATAAATGATAAAAAGCATTTCTTTTTAAATCATTGCTGAATCAATACCATATTATGGCCTCACTAAAGATTTTTTTATTAAGTTTTTATTTTTATGATTTTATTTCATTTACCTAACAGGATTGGCATAGACTATTCTCATGGGGAAAGATGTGTTCACTTCCAACAAGGGATGGATTTTTCCAGGAAGGTTGCACTTCTTAAATGTGGTTTGGTTTTCCAGTATGGTTTAGGTTCTGTGATATAAGAGAGGAAGACTCGAACTGCACCCATTGTAATCTCTTACTTTTTGTCCTCAGACTCCAAAAAGCTTACTCTCACTTAGAAACAGTGGGCTAAATCCTTATTTTGCACCTTCCGTTTGTAAATAATGTGAATTATCTTTTCACTCAAAACCTTTGTTCTTTATATTTTCATTAATGATTAAATCTGCAGAAAACTTTAAAAGCTACTTGAAACACCCATTAATTTTTCTAAGAAAAGCTATTCCTATACTCTGATGGTAAAACTGAAGAAATTAGTAGATAATCCATGCTAATTTTGACCATCTTTCTTAGAAGAATACTGTTTAACCAGACCATTGCCTGTGTCTAAATGCCACTGTGCATTTTAATGTATGTATCCTCGGACATCTGACTCCTTCTTTCAGGCCTTTTGGATTAACTGCCTTCTTAAAATTTAGAATTTGGTAGCTAGAAACTGGAAGCAACCCCAGTGTCTATCAATGGACTAATGAATAAGCAAAATATCATGTGTACACACACACACACACACACACACACACACAAAAACACTACAATGGAATATTATTCAGCCTTAAAAAGGAATGAAATTATTTTTTCTTTCTTTTTATTTTGTTGGGGGGAGGTAATTAGGGTTATTTATTTATTTATTTATTTTTAGAGGCGGTACTGGGGATTGAACCCAGGACCTCAT